AGCAAAAACAACAACATCAACCACAACCGCCCAAACACCAACAGCAACAGCAAAAATCCGTCTCCCAATCGACCACCAAGTCTTCAAACTCCTCGAAGGCCCCCGAGCAGCAGCGGAAAACTTCTGATCGGCCTTCGAAGTCCGATGACCTTTCCCAAAAGACGGGTCCTTGGGCTCCTCCTCCTCCTCGAGACAAGTCCTCTGACGCTAACACCTCCTCCAAGTCGACAGCCCAGGAGAAACTGCCCCTGACCCACCAATCTTCTAAAACCACCCTTGTCGCGTCGACCAAGACTCTGGTCGAATCCGGCAATCGTGATGACGGGGGGCGTGAGTCAGCCTTGGGCAAACGCTCTCGAACTGAGCAGGGCGAAGTCGTTGCCAAGCGGGGGCGTGCGGGCTATTTTCCCTCTGATCCACTAGCCCCGAAATCGACGTCTCTCTTGTTGGCCCCCGTTAATGAGGTGGCCGACCGCCTCGAGAGCGCCCCACTCGAGGATGATCGCAAAAAGGCTGGCGTCACGCTGCCCGAGATTGGCGACAAACTCATGCAGTGGTTTGCTCAGGTATTACTCCTCTAACTCTACCCTGGTTCTTCTCCTTTTTCTTTGTCGATTCATGCGTTGAATTGCCTTGTCTTCTTTGTTGATAGGGCTTGGTCGATTTTTTGCCACTGGCCAAGGAAGCTCGGGACAGCTCGGACAAGTCGATCAAGGCTCTCGAGAACACCGTTGGCTATCTGCAGAATAAAAATTTGACCCTCCTGCAGCATAATGCCAAACTCCGCGAGACACAGACGGAACAGAAAACTGAGTTCGACGTCAAGATTAGATCTCTCGACGAAGAACTTAGTAATAGAGGAAAGGATCTCGCGGAGAGAGATGCTGCTCTCGCGGCCAAGGAGGCTGCCGTGGCGGAAAAGGAGGCCGCCATGAGGGAAAAAGAGGCCTTGCTCGAGCAAGAGCGGACTGCTCGAGCTGAGGCAGAGAAGGCTCGAACTGGTGCGGAGAAGGCTCGAGCGGAGGCGGAAAAGGCTCGGGCTGAAGCATAGAAGGCTCGGGTTGAAGCAGAGAAGGCTCGGGTTGAGGTGGAGGCCACTTTGGCCAAAGAAAGGGCTGCCTATGCTGAGAAAAAGCAGAGATATGCAAATGCCACTGCTCTTCGAGCTCGGCAGATGCTTTGGGCGACGACCACTGGGCAGCTCTTCCTCCGCGAACACCGCGCGCAAGTGGTGGCTGACTTCATGCAGTCACCCCAATTTTTAAAGGAGGTTCAGGATTTCGGGGTGGACTGCTTTCAGTTCGCCCTGCAAAAGGCTGGTGAGCAGATTGCCGAGGATGACTTTGAGCAGCTCGACCCCGGGGCCATCTGGGATGCTTTGCCTAAGGTTCCCGCTGGTTTTCACGGAGATCCCACCCTGCCGCTCGATCATGAGTGGTGGTCGGGGCAGCTCGAGAGAACCTTAGGCCGATCGGAAATCTTGAAGAGGACCTTCGCCCTGCCCGATGATGCTACTCCTCCAGCCGCCATGTTGGTCGCAATGGCTGAATGTATTCGACGACGCCCTCTTAATGAAGCCTGCGATTCGACCTCTGGTACCGGCCCTCAGCTTGACCCTAATGCTAGCTCGAGCAACACAGACTCCGCCGCCGCTCCTCCAC